AATAATGAACTATAATTTCTCTGCAAGTTCCTTCCATGATATCCTGCTACTGCCAAAGAATACAAATGTCAAGATCTATTAAGAGGCTGAGTGACCGTTATGGATGCAATGAGGTGTCTGCTTAAGGAAGTCACAATGCTGAGGAAGGCACGGAGGCAGAAGAGCTCCAACAAGTGGAAAATTCTTTTGTATGAGAAAAATCTCTCAGGTGAAAATGTGTGAACTGTCAGATATTGGAATGCTAAAGACATTAGTACCTTTCATTAGCTCTTACGTAAGGGAAAAGTACCTAAAACCCTTTGTCAATGGTATAAATGTGTAGTACATTCTCTATTTTTCTCATACATGCAATTTTGTATGTTACATAATGTGTTCAAGTTGTATTTCATTTTTAAATTAGTTGTATCTTTCCTCTTTCTGATCAGAACCTGTCAGATCAGTTCATACTCTTCTCCTTTTTGAATTGTTACCTCAAAAGTTCTGCTTTTGAAACATCGGGTTCTGCTAAGACCATCTTGCTGAGTACAGTTTCTCTCAGAAGCTGTGTATGAAGACAAAAAAAAAAAAAAATTATTCTAACAGCAATATAAAATAAATGACAATACTTTTTTTACTTCACTGAAGGGGAGAAGAGATGATAGAATTGTTCACAACTGAAATCAGGAATGCCTAGAGACCCGAGTTGAAGGCATTTTTCTCTGTTTTTAAACTTCTCTGTAACTGTCTGCCAACAGTTTGCAGTCACAAAAATTTTAAAGATGAGTCTTTCATAAAAGTGATTAGATAGTAAATTTTACTTTGTTTGAAAAAGCCATGAATTTGCCACCTAACAGTATAGTTAGAATACAGATATTTGCTATCCTCTTGTTATACATGATGCTGGCATTCAACTAATGTATGGAGATCTATAACTATAAATATCAGATTAGAACAAATACATATTTAAACTCAGACCCTTTAGTAGATGATATTGTGAATGTATACTTGAAGGTCTTTTCCAGTCTAGATGATTCTATGGTTTTCTATGTGACTTGTACTATCACTAACAAGCATTTTTTCTAGAGCTGCCTATCAGATTCTAGCTTTTGAACAGTATAGAAGGAATGATTTTAACTTGATGGAGTAAATACTCTAATGGCTTAAAGAGCATTTATAGAATGCTACTGTGTTTTTTTTTTTAAGCGTGAAACTAGAAAGTGTAGTTGTATTTCCACACTTTTTCCTAATGTGATCAGCATTTTGTTCTGAGATGTTCATGTTGTTGTCCAAACTCTTGTGAAGACATTTTGCTGTTGGCAGTGACAACTATGGCTTAAGAACAAAAATGGAATTCCTGGTTTATTTTAAACTTTAAAATTATGTTGAATAGTCACAGTGCTTAAATCTAGAAATCTCCAAGTCATTCTGTAGATTTTTCTGTAGATCCTCATTGTTACTCACATGAGGAAGAAGTTATCAAAGTTGAATTGAAGTACTCTCCAGAGTAAGGACTGCTGCTAATGGTTTTGGGAGGGGAAAAAAAAGCAAAAATGTTTAAGAATGGTGGCCCACTGTTAGAAATAGGAATGTGGTATACTTAGGATCTTGAGGAAAGAAACCTTTCATAGAGTTAAATACTCTACTGCACTTCTCTATGTGAATAGTGCAAGTTAAATAATAAATAAAACAAAAAGCTTTTCTTCTCCTAAAATATGCATTATCTTAGTAATTAGGGCATTGGCCTGAATTCAAATCCCCATTCAAATCTTCCTTCTGTTGAACTCAGTTTAGGAATTACAATCTCTATCCTCCAGGAATACACCATCTTTAAACTATTGAGTGTGTTAGCCTCAGCACCTGTTTTCTCTCTTTTTGGAAGTCTTCCACTTTATATAAATAATTAAGAACTGCAAGACTGATGTGGATCTGCTGTTCTGACACTTCTGTTGGAGATTTAACCACTGGCCTGCTGGTTGCAGTCAAAACATTCTTATCTGTGTCAGGTATTCTTTATATGGAACAAAGTATTTATGAAAATACTTTTCACCTCAGTGATAACAGGACAGTGGGAAAGAGGATTATTTTAAGAATTCTATCACCTACAGTATCTGATTCTTCAAATAGGCCTCAAAGCACGTTATAATTCATGTGACATCTTGAGGCTATCACAGTCAGCAAACTGTTGAATCTCTGTTACATAAGGAACTTTCCTGCTAGCAGGATTGGGCAGAAAGGAAGAATCATTGACTGAGGAGTAAAGTGTCCATCTCAATCTAAGGAAGAGAAGAGGCTTTTTTTTTCACTAAGCAAACTTTTTCTGAACATGTAACATCAATGATTTAATTAAGATGTCTTATTTTATAAAGGAAGTAGCTGTTTAGTCAGTAGCAGATTTTTGGCAAGGGAAGCTTCTGTGTAGAAACCATGTTAATATTTTTGGATTTAGCTTCTGTCAATGGAAGCATTCCCAGAATTTGAAATATGGTTGATTTTTAAAATGCTTTGTTGCAAACTGTGGTCCTTACAGCAGATAAATGCACTCAGGTTTCTTGTATTGGCCTAAAGGGCTAGTCTGTATGCCCCAGATAATCAATTCAAATTTTTAGTGATTTTTTTCTTTTTCCTTTTAAACTCCCTGAGAAGCTCCTCTGCTGTAAACGTCTACTTTTCCTCTTCTGATAGGCTGTGTACGTTACTACCTTGTCAAGTGTGAGTCTGAAAACCGAATAAATATAAAGATTTCAGTTGTTCATTTTAGTGTCATTGATTTATTGGTTTTGTCTTCACCATACAGCTTTTAGAAATTTCTTATTTCCCTTTTACTTTTGTGATCCTTCCAGTGTGATTTGGAATTCATATTTAACATCTTTTTGTAGCCAATGGTGGTTTTGAAGGACTGCATTTCAAAGGGATGCTGGTAAAGAATGAATATCATTTTAAATGTCTTTTGAGGCTCTGTGACTTACAGTAAGTGTTGTAGAAACACAAAGAAAACCTGTTTTCTTGGCCTCAAGCTCTAAGAGGTTAATTTAGATTATCGTTCTGTTTTTACTTGTTTTATGTTATGAAATAAATCAATAGACCTCCCTTTCAAATAGAAGTCTAAAAATTATATATAAAAAAAATTCAGCTGGGATTCTCACCATGAAACTTCCTAGACCCTTAAAGAAAGTTTCTGTTACAGCATTATTTAAAGACAGAACGCAGTTTGGGGGAAAAGAAAGAGCGTAGTTAAGCTGATGAGAGGAAAGAAAATCAGATGTGAAGGCTTTAGAGGATATATCCATTCAGTGTTTGCAATCTCCAAATGTAGAATGTCTGGAAAATTACATTTTGCAGAGGTGCTGATTGAGTAGGACAGTTTTTCCCTCCCCTCCCCTGTCTTTAAAAAAATAAACAAACAAAAAATAAAACACTCCACACTTAAAACATCAAGGAAGCCATCAGGCTATTGGATTTCCTGTTGAAATCACCTTCTGAGCTCTCAGATGAAGTATAGTCTCTTTTTGGTAATGCTTTACAAGATCATTACTCTCAACATGACTCATTTCCAGAAAGAATGAAGCACTAGTGATTGCAAGAGATTGCTGAAATTAGTTCTTTTTTGTCTGCCTAGGTTAGACTGTACCCATGTTGCCTTTGCTCTTCTGTCTGATTTGATCTACTTCTTTGTGTATATGATAGAAGTCTGCCTGAACTGACAGATTTGAACAGTTGGGAATCTCAAAATATCTTCCTTTTATATAGTTAAATCTTAAATTAGCATTAAAGAAATATTTGAAGTTTAATGTCTTAAAGTCTGAATCATCCATAACATAAAAAGGCCAAGAAAGAAGAGGTCTTCAATAGTAAACAGTGACAAGCAATAATGAGAAAACATCAATTTAATTTATGAAAGAAAAAAACAACATAAAAACAATAAAAAATGCTTTAAACAGAAATCAGACATCAACATTACTATATCAAGAAATATTTATCATGAAAAGATTTCTTCAAACTCTTTATGTTTCTAAACAGCATTAGTAGAAAAAAAATTGTCACAGAAATTGATGTTCACTGCAGAAATTGGCTTAGCAGTTGCTCCTATATGTAATTTCTGAACAGCTGCCTAGGAAGAAGCAAATTTCAACTTTCAGATTGTATTAATATAACAAAGATGGCATTATGTCAAGGACAAACTGCAGATGATTCTCACATCAGACTGGTAGAAATCAAAACTTTTTCATCTGCCTTCTGAATGGCTGCACTATTGGAAGGGGAAATCAGGCCTCTCTTCTTTATCTACATGCTTACATAACATATTAGGACAAGGGCTGTTTTTTTTCCCTCTTCACCTCCTAAATATGATAATGTTTCTTCATTTGCATTAGCTTTAGTGAAGTCTATTCTAGTTGAAGTATGCACCCCTCTCATACAAATCAACATATCATCATTATTCTAAATACCTCGCCAAGCACATAATCCGTGTTTGCTTGAAGTACACAGTGAGTCTTCTACTGCTTTGTTTTGCTGAAATTCATTAAGTTCTTTTATTTTAATTTTCTAAGAAGTCTTTTCTTTATTTAGAGCTAATATTTAACTGTTTTTTTCTTCAACAAGATTTAAAGAAAGAATAAATTTAAATATCTGTAATTATAGAACTTGAAACTGTTAAGCAATAAAGTAAATGCACTGTTGATGCATATTCACTCTCTGTGGGGATATTGACTTTATCATTAAATGGTTCAGTCCTGCAGTTATTAAAACTCTAACTGTTTTCCCAATAGTCATTACAACAATTGCTTTTGCATTTGAATGCTAAATAAATCTACTGTGGTTCAGCCTGCTGTGACAACCTTATACCGAAATACAGTTCTAGCTCACTCTTCTCCTGACTTCCACTTAACTATTTCAGTTTATTCCACTTTTACTGCTCCCTTATTTTAGTCTTTCCTCTTTTAATGTGTTATACCTTCAAATCAGTATGGAATGAGTAATAAGCTGGAAAATACATCAAAACTCACTGGTCCTCTTCACTACAGGGTTAAACTTCATATTTGACAACAATGCAGTAACTCTGCAGAAAGATTGATACTTTGCGAGTCCTTCAGGTCCTGTGTACATTGTAAAGAGAAATTACTTTTCTGTCAGTATGAGCAGAGGTAAGATCTGCAAGGTAATTTTTTCTCTTTTTTTTCCCCCCAATATTTGATTTGATAAAATGCTTCATAGTAACCATAGTCTAAACAATCTTTTTATGGACTAAGATTTGGCATCCTATTTAGGTAGTCATGCCCCTGTTGCCACTGGGACGACTCATTAAATTATGATCCATCTGGAGCTAATGTGACAGAATTGAACCTATATCAAAGCCAAGGGGGGAAAAAAAAAAATTCTGTAGTATTAATGCAAAAAAGGTGCAAAATTATATGAGACTTTAACGAGCCTTGACATAGCCACAGTAATCAAGAGCTGGAGGTGGTCACGACATCCATCAGTTGTGGCTCTCTCCCCCTGAAACAGTATTTTTGTGTCGGTCAAATGCAGTTATGTTTTATGAGCGTGTAATGCAGTGAAATGTCATAATTCAGAACCAATATCATTCTCATTAATGCTGTCATTTTGACTAATATCAGATATGACTGCCCTGATTTGACCATTTCTGGTCAATAATGTTAACAACTTTTCCAAATTTACATCTGAATGTAACTACAGTATTTCATCTGTGCTCTTGCCATGATTAATTTGTTAAGACTTTTCAAATATATCAAGTATCATTAATTTCCCATAGTAGGTTTGCATTTCTTAAATTTAATTGAAGATTTAAACATGCTGGTATCCATTAAAATAAAATATTAGACTGTTAATTTACACTCAAGGAAATATGATTTTGTGCTCATCTGACACGTATGTAATAGCTCTGAGTTAAATTTGAGAAATTTTTATTCTTGGAATAGGTGGCATAGGCTTTGTTTTAGAATCATACAGCACACCATGAGCCTAATCTCCTCCAATTGGTGTTCCAAAAATTCATTATGAAGTCAGCTAAAAACTATAATAATAACACCTGTGTTGTTTGTGATGAGTGTAGAAACACAGTACAAGTAACTCTGTCATGGTTTTATGGAACTGTGAGAAGCAGAGGGACCAATGCCCACATTCTCCACCAAGAATGTCAATGGTTTACAGGCTGGTTCAGCCTAGTTCCATGAAAGGGGAAAGGGTGGAGAGATGGGTCTAAAAACAAAACAGGGGCAACAATCTGAGGAGAAACAAATTTAATAAATCAGATATTGGGATGCAAGATAACAGACTATAATACAGTATAATTGGCATTGAAGATAATAAATCAAAGAAAGAAAAAGAGAGAGAGAGTTTGAAAACCCAAGGTCTTACTCTAAGTAAACTGAGGTATTACTCTGAGAGCAGAGACAAGCCAGAATATTGAAAGGGTGGTCTTGATCTGTGAACAGTTTTTATCTTTCCCTCTGAGTGGAAACAGTAACAGAACAACAAACAGTTCTCAGAGAGATGTAGTTCTTCTCTTTGGGGACAGGCATGCAGAGCTGGAGCATTAACTATTTAACTCCCAGTGCACTACATGATGTTATGATGTGGAGTACTGGCAACCAAAAATCATAAAGCCACGACAAACTCTAATATGTAATTTGGATCTGGCCACTGCTGGGCTGTGGGTACTGAAGAACATTACAGAAGAAATAGTCTAGAGAAGGAAAGGTTGAAGAAGTATGGTAGGCTGTGGAGCAGATGGAAAGAAGGCTGCAGAAAGGTAGATATTTTTCACTATAAGGAATATTTGGGCAGCACAGGCTGCCCAAAGAAGCTGTGGATGCTCTGTACTTGGAGGTGTTCAAGACCAGCTTGGATGGGGCCCTGGGCAGCCTCATCTGTGGACAGCCCTGTCCACAGCAGGGCATTGGAACTGGATGAACTTTAAGGTTCCTTCCAACTCAAGCCATTCTATGATGACTTTGGGCCAGTAGGCGTAAAAATCAAATTACGTGGCAGGGTAAAGGCAGAACTTTGACACTTTTGCTCTTACAACACTTAGTGACAGTATCCCCTCCTCTCTCTTCAAGGGCTTTACTAATAGATACTGTGTACTTTCATTCATCATTCTTTAGATAACTGGATGCTACGTGGACTTTCCATAATTGCTCACTACCACAATTGTCTAATACTTCCCAGTCAGCACAGATAAGTTTTATTGAATAATATTCATTCTGAATAATGGCATCATAGCCTACAGTGGCACACTGAAACATAACTATGATTGTGTACTACAAATATGATTTTACAAAACGAAATATAAGTTTTCTGCGTGAAAATCTAGAGATGGAGAGAGTGAGAGATGGTGGAAGTTTCTTTCTGGATACAAATGAGAGCAACAGCAATAAATGGCTTAATTAAAATAGCTTTTTTTTGTAAGAGAGAATAAAACCATTAATACAAGTAGATATCTTTGGATGCTGGGAACCCTATTGCTGTGCAAATACCAGTAGTTCAATCATTTCCAATGAACTTGTATATACACACAGTTAAGCCCTTTAATTACTTGCTGTGATGTCACTTTCTGCAATAATCAGTAAAAAAATAACCCTGAAGATGAGTTAGTCATACATTCAGTATGAGTTTGTTGGTATTGAACTGACTTTCACTAATTTAGTGTGAGACACTAAAGAGTAATTTAGTGATGTTCCTTCACTAAAACTTGCTGTGAATATAATGTTTCTGTAATAGTGGCATTGTTTTTGGTAGGAAATTAAAAGCTACATGAATTAAAAGTAGAAGTATCTGTTGTTAGCTGATGATACAAGATGAAAACATAGACTTCACTGCTCCATTTTCACTTTCTTACATCAGTAAGACCATTTCATCACAGTAATATTCAAATATTTCAATAATAATGTTCAGACAAATACCTCAAAAGCAACATAAGGATATTAATACTAGACATAAAGAAATAACATTCATTAAGGTGGTTCAGATACAGAAAAATAGTTATAATTATTTGTTTTTGTCAGGAAATGTGGTAACTTGTCTTCAAAATGCAACATTAAAATGTCTTTTCAACAGGATTCCATTAATTAATAATGTTTAAGATAAAGAATTCTTTCATATGAAGTACTGTGATCTTATACCAAGGAAATGCTCCTAAAGGGAGCTTACAAACAGGAGGAGAATTGACTCTTTGAAAGGGTAGATAATTGCAGGACAAGGGGAAATGGTTTTAAGTTGAGGGAGGGAAGATTTTGGTTGGATGTCAGGAGGATGTTTACTCTTTTTGAGAGTGGTGAGGTGCTGAAACAGGCTGCTCAGAGAGGTTGTGGATACTCTGTCCATCCCTGGAAGTGTTCAAGGCCAGATTAGATGGGGCAGTGGACAGCCTGGTCTAGTATTAAATGTGAAGGTTGGTGGCCTTGGACGTGGCAGGGGGGTCAGAGATTCATGATCCTTGAGGTCCCTTCCTAACCTGGCCATTTTGTGATTCTGTGATTTGTAAGAAGGCAAGTTCCTGATAGACCTCACAAAATCTAATGATGAAATTGAGAAGTATACTGGAATTATTTGTGAGGTACTTTTTTATGTTCCTCTGTTCTTCTTTTCTATAAGATCATACTAAAAATATTTTGAACAGTTTGAGATTTGATAGCATGTGATTTTTCTTTATTTTTAAGTCAACCAGCATGGTGCCTTTTTAGTGCACCCAAGGAATTCCTAGGTAGAGTTCTTGCTTACGGGACATGAAGTCTATCAGACACACCTCGAGGAACAGTGAGGAGATGCAGTAGAGAAATTCTGTCATGATTTTGCAAGCTTTACAGGCACTGATTCCCAAGATAGTTGTAGAAAGTTTATATTTCCAAATACTAAGAGGAAATGTCAAGGCTATCATGACATCATTGGCTTTTTCAGCTCATTATAGTAAGGGAAGAAAGAGGAAAGAAATAGCAGAGTTATTTAATGACAGAATTGATTGAATTTTTCATCATTTCATTTTTTGTTCATGTAGTATTCCTACATTTTGTCACACCTCTTACTAACAAAAATAACATCCAAACTCAATAACAGAGGCTTCAGATCTTAGCACAGTTCTGATTTAGGAAGAATTTTATTCCACTAGAAAACATAAGGGGGAGACTTAGAGACGAAATGCAGAACACCGTTTCTTACATCAGATGGAGAATGATTTCAGAAGCAGATCAGTAACGGGGGTGGAGGGTGAGTAATCTAAAAAGAGTTGTTAAATCCTATATTTGACTTTGGATTTGTTTTTTCCTCTCAATTCCACTCTTCATCAATAAATGACTTTTTCATAGGATAACAAAGGAGGAGAATACAGAAAGGAGAAAAGATGTAAGGAGTATAAGCCTAAACTTTTCATTTTTGTATATCAAACTTGAGCATCTCAGCAGCTGGCACTTTTCACCTAACAAAATGGACAATCATGATTGCATCTCAACAGAGCTTTTATTTGCTGATTTGCAAATCTGTTTTACAACATTTAAAATAGAAAACATGTATTTAATGATTACTTTTGTGGACATTGATTCATGAATGTACTTTTCAGCAGACTGCCTGTCATCACTGCTGCTTCACAAAGGAATGCTCTGTTATTTCTATAGAGTCTTTCCTTTTTCAGCATTTGAAGGTCCACATATATCTAGAAGACAGCAAAATAGATGGTACTTGACTCCACTGAAATAAAGGCATTTGTTATCCTATGCATAGCCAGGGCCAGAAAGGTCATTCTTTTACTGGGTTGTTTTACCATTCCTCATTTTCATTCTCTCTCCTATATCTTTTATTTATTTCTTTTTTCCCCTCTCAGAAATTCCTGCAGGACTCTGTTAACTAGGACATAATGTCATTGGCCAGGTTGAAAACATTTTTTCTTATATAATGTGATATACCTTTTCTTTTCAAATATATTTCTTACCACCACTTTTCAATGATCCCTCCATAAATCCAGCTGAGGGCAGGCAAGATCCATGCAGCTCTGATAAAAAGGGTAAAACTAATTTACTAAAGATTCATGAGTTGTTTCCTCACACTCTGCCAGCTATTATGCTCTAGTATACCATATCTGATAGAATTACCCTGAATGTGAAATAGTGTCTCTACTGCAACTGAATTTGAGAAAGATCATCACTAGTCTCAAAAGAAATAGAACTGCTGTCTCTTAATTTACAATAAAATATGAATGTTTTAGTATATGAGTCTAAAATTAACTGCAATGACAGTTTAATTTTTTCAAAGATGATGCTGTACTCCAGCCTTGCATGCATTGTGTCTATTTACATACAACATAATGCATTCTCTGCATGCTCAAAACAGAGTGCATGCAAAGCGGATAAGATCTGAATAAAATTGGGAAAACTGATACTGTTCCACTGTATTTGGCAGTGCTGATTTTGCAGGCATCTAAATTGCAAGTGTTTGCATCTATGTATGAAGGACTTGTTTTTAGTTTCCTGTATATTTTTCCTTTTTAAATTTTTTTTCTTTTAATGAGAAATGCCTTGGCTTTCAGGTCCGAGCAGCTACAGAAGAACAGCACAGCCATATTTGCATGTATTAGGCATCCAGCTTGCCCTCTTCATCCACACAGGGAAATCCATGTCCATTCTCCTGTTGGTGGTAAGTGGTTGTTTGAGGAAGTGGCCTGGTTATGCCATCTCTTCCTTGCTCAGGTTTGTCCTATTATTGCACTAAGAACCACGTGTAACAGGCCAGGAAAAGCAGCAGCATCCTTGTCAGTCAGGCAGGGACGTTTGTTATTTGTTGCCTTTACTTTCTATACTCTATGGGATAGTGATAGAGGCAGGAGAGGTGCTGGCAAAGGGAAAAGTGAAGAATTTATCTTCTTACTACCAAGTTTGACACACCAAAGTGTGTCATGTAAGTTTTCCCACTGTTTCTTGCTTACTACTATATTCAATTTGAATCTGTATCTCAAGGGAATCAGATGTTAAGAAAACAGATATTGACAAAGAATATTAACATACATCAGTCTGGAAGAAAGATAGACAAACTTTGATGAGAACATACTTAGTGATTTAAAATAGCATTATTTACGTGGGGGTTTGGGCTAAGAACAGTGTTCTATGAATTGTGATCTCAAGTAAACAAGTCTTTTCAAGTAGGTTCAGAGTACTCCAGTGGTCTGTATAACAAATATTGACTACTCAGCTGAAGAGAGGAATGTAATGAACTACATCTGTCCCTTTTTACATTTGTTTGGCAAATGAATATAAGGAATGAAACATTGCTTTGTAAATAGGCCTCTTTGGGAAACAAGGATACGGGCCTCATAAAGTTGCTGCTGAACAGCTCTGGTATTGTTTTATGGCCTAGGATGGGAGAAGACTTTTTTCATTATCTTCTGTTTCCTGAGGAACCCTCTGCCCCTCTTCCTTGTTTCAGTGCAGAGCCCTGTGACTAAGACTGTGCTGTAAGATAACTCACTGGCCCCACAAGACTAGGTAATAGTTCTGTATATGCTGTACTGTTTCAGTCCTCTTAACACGGAATGATAGCTCCTATGGGGGAAAAAGGGTGTTGTTATTAAGTTAACTTTCTTTAACAAGCCATTGGTCCAATCCAATATAAAAATCAATGTTTTTCAGAGCTTCACAATGAAGAAGTGTAATGTATTTTTTATTGGTTCTAGCCCTGAGCTGTCTTGTCAAAAGTCAGCAAAATATTGTTCAAAAATCTCTTATCTAATCAGAGGCTTATGAGTTTCACATGATGTTTTCCAAATACCAAGGAAGCTAAATGATACAAAATCTCTGAAAGAAAGAAAACAGAGAGTTGTGAGACAGGAATTTTAGTTATTTGTGGCAGTTTTCTAAAAGAGTTAAGTTTTGATTTTTTTTTTTTTTTTAAACATACATTGAAAACTCCTGTTCACTACTTCTAGAGATGAACACAAATGAAGATATCAACTAATAATATCAAGTAAATGACCTTATGGTTTCCACAAATCAGGACAGTTTTATCAGTGAGTAGAATTCTAGATCATTAATTAATGTAGAACAGCACTATTTACTTTCTTTTCAGAAAACTGTACAAGAGAAACACCTGAATTTTAACCAAGGTCTATTGCTGGGAGAAGTAGTGAAAAATGTTTGCATGATCTAGATCTGAGATTGTTTAGTTGTATTTATTGTAATACATAATATTAACCACTGTCTCGTGTTAAAATCATAGTGATTTTAACAATATCCCAAGCAAGAGAAGAAAAACGCCTAGTGTCATTCTATCAAATCTCCTTCTCTCATTATTATTATTATTATTATTTTGCAAATTAGTCATTTAGATGTAATCTAGGTTTGAGAAATTCACCTCTCTTTTGTTATATAAACAAAGGTCAAAAACAAAGCTAATTGCTATTCAAAGCACAAGGCTTTTTGTTTTTAATGTCTTCTCTCATTTATACTTGTTCTTTTGAAAGAAAAGAAGACCAGCCATAAAGCCCTGGGGCACTTGAGACCTCTTAGAGTCCTGTATTTTACTTTCTGTAACAGCAAACTCTAATTTCCAATTTGATGTTTCTTTTTAATCAGCTGATTGGTCAGTGAAATGAAGTAAAGTATATGACATAATTTTATGTGGAGTTTAAACAGTACATTGTGAGGTAATTTTCCTTGGGGAATACAGAGAAATTCTGGGCTGGGTTAGGTACAGGGTTAAAGCCAGAACAAAATTCATTTCAAAACTTTTTTTTTTTTTTTTTTTTTTCCCCAAGCCGAAGAGGAAGCTCAATCCTTACTCTGATACCCTAAGTCAAAGCAAAATGGCAGAATCAACCTAAGAGATGCCTAAACTTGACCAGCATCTGGAACAAGAAGTTTTCTGGATCAGCATAGCATTCAAATCAGCAGAGACATTAAAGGAAAAAAAGAAAAACAGTAATTTTTCTCTTGGGAGATTTAAGACGTTATTTTAGCTTAGTTCATTTTATCTTGTTTCATGCACAGTTTTTGTCTTTGTCCTTTTTTCTTCACCAGCTGGGAATAAAAATGTTATTCAGTGAACACTTTTCTCTCAACTCAGGCTAAATAATTCAAGTTGGGATTCTTACTGAGGTAATTTCACTATTCCTTGCCCACTAGGACATCTTATCCTCAGATTTTCAGTCAATTAGTTATTCTGAGTAGTTTGGGAATAGTTGTAGCTATGAGGCCCTCTGTTGTCACTTCAGCCATCCAGGAAACTTGATATGCCGTCCAGCAACCATGCTGGATAATCAGAGATGGAAAAACAAATCTGCATTATTTTAGTTGAAAATCTGCTATGAATTTTAAAATGGCATTGATTTTTAGCTGAATAGTGTCTCTAAGTTTTGTGTAAATACATCGTCATCTTTTTTTTTCTCACTGTTTTTTTCTTTTTTATCCATTGTAGCAGAGCAAGCATTGCACTTGAGTCCCAAAATTTTTTGAAATGTATCATGGTGGATTTATAACGAATGTATTTTTGTATATGTTTGGAAAAACAACATAGTTTTAGGGCCTAATCCCTCAGCCTGTCATTCAAATGTGAAATCTGATTGCCTTCAGTGAGACTCTTTGCATTTTGCCTAAAAATGTCTGTTCGGAGAGATATAGTAAACACAAATTAATGGATTTTCAGTGCTTCATTCTAATATTTGTTAAAAACTAAATTAAAAAACCTAAACCCTTACTATGCCATAAGCTCTTCCTACTTTATTATGAAAGAAATTGTCTTTTATGGAGTATTCTATAGAACAGATTCAGAAATCTCAGTCTTCCTGATGTCACATGACATTTTTTGTAACATTCAGACCTCAACTATATCCCATAACCACACATGTTCAAAGTCATGTTTCACAAAGAAAATGGAAATACTGGAAGAACTCTAGTAGCCCAGTGGCAGTTTTTCCTAATCCAAATAGGAATTTGGATTTTTCAGGCTGTCTTGAAATGAAAAAATCAAGAAGGTTCTATTTACTACAAAAACAAATATTTTACAAAATTAGAAACAATGAAGAAAATTATTACTTATGATAGATTAGAAACACTAAATTTCTACATGACATTTAAAATGCATAGGTATCAATGGAATACACTAATTTTTTTATATACAGACATATCTATGATTATCTCCTCTTCAACATTTTTTAATGTAAACTAAATTCTCATCTTCAGCTTTCAAAATGTAGTTTCCTGTTGTATTAGAATTTCTTTCAAGTATGAAATCCCTTACTGATTAATAATGGCCTTTATGAGCATCTTGAGTATTTAAAATGATGTTTTTCTGAAATATATTGCAGAAGCCTCAGCTATCTGAAGTTTTAGGCTTTCATACATTTCTACTTTTAAAATGAGGGTTACTTTTTCAGGTTTTGAGGGCTACTGTATTTTCATAGTTTTATCTATACTCATGCAATACCAAAATACCATGCTTTCCCAACATTTGCAAATTACTGATGAATGGACTTCAGTGTCATGGCAAGCTTATTAATATAACTAGGAATTGGTGTAGGCAATACCAAGAGTAAAATACAAGTCGTGTACCTGTGGGAATAACATTAGAAAGCATCTTAAGTAGTTTAGGGAGTTATGCATGCACATCCACACATATGTGAAAATATTAACTGATTAAAATGAGAAAAAAAGTGCTTTAGGAACAAAGGGCATTATGACTGGGGGGAAAAAAAGAAACCTGCCTAGTTTTTAGATGTCTCTTGCAATAACTTGCTGACAGTACTAAAGATGTAATATAATAATCTACCTCATTCTGTTTCAAGTCCTCCGCCCAAGATTACTTTTCAGCATATAAAGAGGCATGGGGAAGTAGAATTTTTTCAATTTCTTATCCTTGTAACATTGTGAAGACTTTAGGATTAGCACCAATGCTTAATTATCAAAGAGAGAACTAGTGTTACAAGTAGTGACAATCTTACAGCACTGATTTCTGAGCTTCTCTCGAGTAATATAGTTTGCCATTTCTGATATGATTTATTTTCTTAAATAATATGGAAAATCCAGGGTGAAAATTACATTTTGTCTTGTATTTGTTTATTCAGGGTGTTAAGAAATTGTAGCTTATCTATTACTACTGACTTCTGATGAACAGATAAGGGAACTCTTATTCAACCATAACCTATTTTCTTCTTTTGAGCTTATTATTTCAGACCAAATACATTTATTTTATGGAACTTCAAAAGTTTGATTCTTTTGGGGATGTTGTGTTTATGTGATGAAGCTTGGTCAGATCAGAGAGACATTGTGTCCTTATTCCTGGACTTGAGTACACACAGTAGTCATTCCCCAAGGAGAACAAAATCTGCAGCCCTAACAGTACTTATGTTCTTTACAGGCAGACTGCTGCCTTTGGATGCAGTCTCTTGCTACCAGAAGGCTTCTGTGTGTGGACAGAAAATCTCTGTTCTGATCATAATAAACAACTGTTGAGCGGGAAGATATAGAAGAGATCTGAGTTAAAAAAGGAAATAGTGGGGAAAAAAATAATAATGGAGAGAAAATGATGTATACTCTTAAAAAAAAAAATAAAAAAAAATTGTGTCTTTAAGAGTTCTTTGGTCACCTTTGGCAACAGATTCCTTTAATTAAGAAACAGAATTTCTTTTGGCTTTGTGAAGCTAGATTTTTTTAACAACGTAAAATGTAATGCTAACATTTTCAATAATGTACCACTGAATAAATTGAAGTACAGTTTTGATTAACTCTAGAAATCATAATATTATCTTGTCTATTTTCATGCTCTGTAAAAGGCTCTAAAATGGTAGGATCAATTAGTTTTGATTTCCATACCAATCAGTCCAGATGGTTCCCATTATTTTCTGAGGATAGCTGCAAATTGAATTTTTTGAGCCCGAAATCCACATTATGAAAAAGGTGATACTTTTTGTGCAATAATCAGAGCTGAAGATGGCCTAAGCTCACAATTTTTCATACTTGAAAACAAGTTTGAAAAGTAAAATTGAGTATTTCAGAGAAAGGAAAAATTTTTTGCATTCTTTTCAGGGGAGGTGAAAAAAATGTTTCCTTAGATAATTTCATAAGTGATGTACATGCTATGTTTTTCAAAGGTATTAGAAATGATGACAGATGATTATGTGTACCTTACTGTAAGATAAGCAGTGATTTGGGCCAGAAGATATTAGTGATGTTCCAAATATATTTATATAGCTGAACACAATCTATGGTCTGATTACTGTTCATAGAATCATTTGAGTTGGAAGGGATCTTTAAAGGCCATCTAGTCCCAGTCCCTTGCAACAAACTGTTGGGACACCTACAGCTATATCAGTTTTCTCAGAGCCCTGTCCAGCCTGGCCTTGAGTGTCTCCAGAGATGGAGTATCTATCACCTCTCCAGGCAACCTGTTCCAGTGCCTCACTACTCTTATTGTAAAAAAAACCTTTTTCTTGTACCCAGTCACTGTTATTTTTATCATGTCAAAACAACCTGCCTATCTGCTAATATCAGTCAGGAGTTCTCTGAATCTATATAAAAAGAGGATCTCCCAAAATCCACCACGATGCTACAATTTGTCTGAACAGCATTTGATAACACTCCCTTACACATAAAATTCAAGCAGTTTTTTAGAGTATCTGAATCTTAAATAGCTGCTTTATTTCATGCATGTATCTTGGATCCACGAATAAAACAAATACATCGTAGCTCTCCTACGATGCAAAAACCTATTTGCATCAGTTTGGCCTGGGACTGGTGTTGCAATGTAGTTTGAACATTACACTGTTACCCTTGAGAAATAGGAAACGCAAGAAGTGCATACACACACTGATTATATATAGTTGTGTATTAAATCAATACATATATTATCCTTATGTATATCTTCAGTATATATCTACATATAATATCTTCAAATGTACTGTTATATTCCCATGAAAAGCTACTTGAAATTTCTTCCTGTAAGTACTTTACTTTGTATAACTCAAGAGTGAGTTTGAAGCATTCTCAGCTGACTTGCAGTAGACCAAAGGAATGGAAATTTCAAAGGATAGTAAATGTAGCTAGCATTGGGCTTTGCAGTATTTGGCTTCTGGTAGAAAGTTTATCTTTGTGTGCAATTAGCTATCAGGCACTTATTCCTCTTTTACTATCGTATGCTTTCCCAGTTCCATGATTTTATTTTAATGTTCTTAGCCTGATTTCCTATGAAATCATGATTTCTGTGATTATATCATCAGCCTTTTTTTCTTCCTCTTTAGTAATGACTAAAGAATCCTCTGGCTAATTGCAATCCAAAATAGGTAGATGTACAGAGGTTTCAAAAATAATTAAATTCTTACAGTCTTTGTTAAAGTAAGCAGCCAAGGAGAGAGGTTCAGATTCTGGATGTGCCTGATGGAGGGACTGGCAGCTGTGAGTGTGTAGCTAATTAGACACTGGCAAGCCCATAACAGTGAGGTATAAATGTCTCCGTGGCTGGAAAAAAGCTTCTGCAGGATCTTGTACCTTCTCAGACACCAAGATAATTGCAGCCCCATAAGTAGAAAATAAAGCTTGTTTTCTTCGAACTTGGGAAGGCTGAACTATCTAGCTATTATCATTAGTGGGAACCAGATGCTGTTCTCATAGCTGATTTTTACAAATTCCTCTAAGAAATCAACTATTAGTTGAAAAAACAGCTGCTGAAAACAAACTTTATAATGCCCTGCAAAGTTTTATATTTGGATACTCCTGCTTAGAGAAGCTATAAAGTAAATGAGACTCAGTGGAAAGACTAATTGAGCCCTTCAGAGACTGTCAGACCTGAGACCTAATAAACACCTCGTGATGTTAGTAGAGGTAATTGGCCTGTAGCTACCGAAGACTCTGGGAGACGGCTGAGTTTTACGGGAAAAAAAAAAAAAAAGAAAAAAATGTATCAATATATCTTGAGCAAAGATCAGAATGCCTTGAGTGTGAATTATTGAGACCAGGTAATGCTATCAGGTACCTGTGCTTGGAGAGTGATAGATGACAGAAAACTTGCTAGAAATTTAAAAATGAAGGCTTATATAGAAACAAAATGTTATATAGTAAAAACATAGTTGTGTGTAGGGCAGGTAGAAATGACCTTGCTTTGCAACACTTTACTTGTCTTTAATTGTTATGTGATAAACACAATGGAAATGAGTTACATGCAAGTTTATTCTGATACTGCAGAATTAGGGTCATCCTTATACTTGCAACTTATCTGAAATAAAATATCCTGGAGAAATACCAGAGAACTGTGAAACAAAAAGTATTATAAATTCCTGTCTCTCATGATAGTGTCGCAGTAGCTGACACCTGCTGGCCTCCATGGCTCAGAGGTTATGATGATCAAAGCAGCCTGCAGCCACTGGTAGCCATCAGTTTATGCAGCGCAGTGTGAAGAATCTCTCCACCTCCCACCTGAACCAGGCAGAGTCACCCTTAAGGGACTTTCATTCTCTAAGGCTAACCTCTTTCTCACCTTTTTTGGAGGATTTCTCTGACTGATATAGTATAACATCCAAAGGTATGAAGTGTCCTGTAACTTCTGTGATGCCCTTATATTTTTATTTAATTCCTATCGGTTGTTTTTCCTCTTTTACATTAGGAGACAGTGCTGCAGTTGAAAGCTATTGGATATTCAGTTTAATTAA